CCCCCACGTTCATACGTGATCCCCAGCAGTTAATAAGCCATGTGGATCGTACGAAACTCAAGAAAACTATCAGAAAACACGTTGCTAGCTTCTCAGTGTGCGAGACAGTTGCAACTGTCTCGCACTTCCTAGACAGTTTGTGCTGTCTCGGGTAGTTTGACTCTAACTCTCTCGTCCGATCTCGGAATAAGGTGATCCATGATGCATTGGAAAGCTGGTGAAGAGACCTTAAACTTTTATCTTTTGATATTTTTTATATTCAATGCGAATCATGGTCGAGATTTTAGTTCTTGTCTTGTAGTTTCCGAGACAGTTGCATGTGTCTCGGAAACTATGTGTTGTATTTTGTCTCAAACTCCCTCGTCCGATCTCGGAATAAGGTGATCCAAGATGCGTTGGAAATCTGGTGAAGAGATCTACAACTTTTATATTTTGAGCTTTTTTAGATTCGTTGCGAATCATGATCGAAATATCAGTTATTGTCTTGTAGTTTCTGAGACAGTTGCATGTGTCTCGGAAACTATGTGTTGTATTTTGTCTCTAACTCCCTCGTCTGATCTTAGAATGAGATGATCCAAGATGCGTTGGAAATCTGGTGAAGAGATCCATATTTTTTTTTACCTTTTGAACGTTTTCAGATTCAATACGAATCATGGTCGAAATATCAGTTCTTGTCTTGTAGTTTCCGAGACAATTGCATGTGACTCGAAAACTATATGTTGTATTTTGTCTCTAACTCCCTTGTCCGATCTCGGAATAAGGTGATCCAAGATGCGTTGGAAAGACGGAGAAGAGACCTAGAACTTTTATATTTTGAGCTTCTTCATATTTGAATCGCATCATGGATGAAATGTGGGAGGCATATTATAGTTTCCGAGACAGTTATATATGTCTCAGAAACTTTATGTGATGTCCTCATTGTTGTTCTACTTCTAACTCCCTCGTCCGATCTCGGAATGAGGTGATCCAAGATGCGTTGAAAAACTAGCGAATAGCTCTACAACCTCCCATAGGCGAGACACTCATGGATTGGGCGAGACCCACATGGTACTTCGCCCTTTGTGGGCAAAGCACAACTCTCGGCTGAATTGTTCTTTCATCGTTTCGCTTGTGTCGTAGACCCGTACGCTTCATCGGCTTACTTCATGTGCTTTTTAGCTCCTCTACGGTATCGGATGATCCCTTTTGACTCAGATAATCTTCATTGACTTGGATATTAATGGCGTTCATTGTTTTCTTCTTATCTCGAGCTATATTCAGATACCTATAAGCATTTTTAGACGCCTACAACCTCCACACAAATCTAGCCATTCAATTACTCATCTCAAATAACCCCACGTCAAAAATAAAAATAAAAATAAAAAAAATAAATAATAAAAATAAAAGAAGAGAGAAAACCCTAGATCCA